GGGGAGCAGAGTAGTTTTTCGGGTAGCTTCTGAATTTTTATTATCAAAATACTAATTTCATTGTTTGCACAAGATTTCCAAATTTCTTTCTTTTTTTCTGCTACGGCAGCCAGTGCTTCAATTTGGCTGTTATCAGCCTATAAATATTTAATCACAGACCTGTACTTTAGGCATTCATTCTCCACTCTCCATTCGCGCCCATGTTTTATTGTTATTTTGGGTTTTGGTTTGGGTTTCGTTGGCTGCTGATAGCGGACAGCATGGGAAGTCAAGATTTTTGGTTAGATAATGGTCACAAGGGAGCTGCAACACGGCGTATGAGTAATTTGTCGTGTTTGTATCTGAAACAGTTGACTTGCTGTTCACTGGTTTAGTTTAATTATGTCAAGTGTTTCGACATGAAATTAAAATGTTGCCACTCGAGCTGGAATTTAACTGGAAAATTAATTTGTCATTGCCTGCCATTTGGATGTGTGCTGAGTCGAATTCTGAAGATATGAAATGTGCGTAATTATTGGTGTTTAATTAAAATACTGATAGCCGATGACTTAGGCGCTGATTAATTTGGTATTATTGTGTGAATAAAGAAATAAATAAATGTGATGGTGAGTCGAGGCGAAAATTTTGCCCGAGCTTACTTTGCTTAGCGCCCTTAATTTCAATAAACTTCAAGCAAACTTGCACAAACTTTAAGCCTTTTGTCTGGCTGAGTGTGCACAATAATTGTGTGTAATTAACTTGCCATTTGATTGAAATTATACCTCGCACACACACACTCACTCTCGCTCAGCCATTCATTCATTTGTGGAAAATTCTTAGTAAAGCAATTTGCCTGCCAAAAGTGAGGGCGCTGCCAAGGGGCGAACGATTCCAGTCAGCCATATTGAATTGTTCGGGTGTTCCAAGGAGTTTTGCACCTCCAGCGGCTTTAATTAAAAATTCAACCCCCCAAACAAAATGGCTCACACACATGAACACACATTTTACAGCTTGAGCAAATTTGAAAAACAATTAAATGCCATGCGCGCAATTAAATACACAAAAGGTGGCAACAGCGAAAAAGGGGAGTATTGGCCAGAACGCAGGGAAAACCCATTGAAAGGGGGGAAAAGTGGAAAAGGGTGGAGCAGCTGCTGCTCAAGTGGCACACACTCACTCACACACACTTGGGCAGCGGGTTGGGGTGGTTATATACCGTTAATTAAGCAGCCTGCTAACAGAAACCCAACGCCAAAGAGTCTTCAGACCGAGAGCATTCCGAGCTGGAGGGCCTTGTGGCTAAAACCAAAACCTAAGCCAAAACAACAAACATGACACAAACAGACAAACAAAAGCTTTTGTTGCCCCAGAACAACAACGGCAAATCCATCAAAACAAACAGCCAGGAGGGATTGTTCCGAGGATTGGGACTGGGCTTGGGGTTTGGGCTCAACTTCCACTCGCTGCCACTCACTTTTCCACATCGAGCCTTGCCCATCTCCTCGAAAATCCTGCGAAACCAGAAACCGCACGGAAAAACTTTCATTCGCAGCGGCCGTGTAAAAAGGATTTAATTATTTGCTCTAAGGATATGCTCATCCGATGGGGGAGAAAATTTGTTCCTGCGTGTTTGCCAGCAAATAGAAAAAATATGCTTCACGTCCACTTGGCAGGGTGTTCGGCAAACGAAATCAAACAAAATTACAGGACTAGCTGCACAGAGGAAAATTATTATCCCTTATTTTCTAATGTAGTTTTCTGATTTAACCTCTTTTTAAGCAGAGTGCAATGAATCGAATTCTTGATCAAATGGCATCTATAAGATACAGATTTGGTTTAGAGAGTTAGCGTTGGTTTTCCGCGTGCGAGTATTGCAGTAGTATTTTTAACTGATACCTCTTCCCTTCCCAGCTTAGCTGCAGTTTGGGATTTTAAATTGTGAAATGAGCCCGCGGCAAAGGCCTAATCCCAGACCCAAACTCAGATTGGATTGGGATGCAGCCGCGGGCTAGGCTTAGACTTACCCCGAGAACCCTCTCCGAATGTCAATTGCAGGATATGCGCCGTCGGGCAATTACGGCCAGTATGGAGAAGGGAGGGAAATCTCTGCGTGTGCCACGCCCACTTGGAAAGCGAAAACTTCCCACGCACGAAAACTGAGTTACGAACCGTAATTTGATTGTTTTGCCTTAGTTTTCGATGGGACTTGAGTTCGAGAGGGCAGGGTCCCGAAACTGTTGATTGTAGTGATTAAGCGGCCAGGAGCTGTGACAGAGATTTTACCAAATTACAGGGCTCTATGGAAATTGCATGTTTTGACTTTTGGGTGGAACGCAGCACGACACGCGTCGATATTTGTTCGACGACTGCCCATTCCACCAGCAATTATCTCCCGCAGCTGAGCCGACTTAGCCAAGTCACTTGGAAAGTTCTCAGACTGACCGCAAGTCAAACTTCTCGCCGGCGTAATGAAGTGAGCGGGGCCCAAAACAATTGAGCAAAGTTATTCTATACTTCAGCACTTTGTGTGGTGCACTGTGAGTAAAAGGAGAGGAGTTGTGGGAAATCGTAAAGGAAGATGAGTTGTGGGAAACCGTATTCTGAAGTATTTCCCACAAAAGCAATCATGCTTTTGATACACTGCATGGTCACACTGGGCCCTTTCGGTGTTAGCAGTGTGGCCATGATAGAATATTAAGCAAAACGAAACAAATCCTTGAATATTTATTCAGCGTAAACGTATTCAACGCCCTGTTCTCAGTGTAAACTTTGATGGCGCTGGTCGTAACTTTTTTATGACTCACTTGGCCCTAGAAATTTGCGGTCGCTGTCTCGGTTGCCCATCTACACTTGCGCTCACCCAATTGTCGCTACTCCACTCCAGATATCATCAAAAATTTAGCAAGACGAGCGGTCGGAGAGGGCATTAAATAAATAATTTAGCTCCGGCAGGTAAACGAAAATTGTTTCTTGATCATTTTAATGCACCCAAAGGGCCGCTCCGCCCCGAAAAAAGTTTTCACGATGAGGGAGCATTACGTGACGTGGAAATGGAATTGGGGTTAGATGGGTGAACCCCCCGTTTCTGTTTCATTAATATTAAAAGCAGTCCCCAGCATGGGCGCTCATCATTTGAATAAAAACCGATATTTGTTAATAATTGTCGCAGGACATGCGAAAGGAATTCGATAGCTTAATTTGTGGAGCGGGCCATCGGCTAATTGAAAATGTAATTAAAGCACGCATCGATTGGCCGGATCCTCTTCAAGGAGCACGCCAGGCATTTCGGCCAACACTCGGCGGTGTTCCGAGCCTCTCAGCTCCCAGTAATTGGAGCCACCTTCACAGGGCCCAAACCGCCAAAAAAGTAATATTGAAAAAATGAAACAGAACCCTGGCAAAGTGTGCGGCAAGTGTGAAAGATGCGAGCAAGTCCAGAAGACTTGGCCCAGACCTTCAAGCCTATCGAATTTCACCGTCTCCGCTTGGGAAAGCTGTTCTTTTGCTCTCTTGGCCGCAGCTCTGTTTTTTATGGCCACTTTATTTGATTTCGGCTGGCTAATTAAATAGTTCCATTTTGGCCGACGGTCAGTCCAGAGTTGTTGTGCTTTGTCTTTGTTTATAAGCCATAAACGGCACAACGACAATTGCTACAATTGCAGGCGATTCCAGCGGCTTTATCGCGTCCGTTTATGGTGGAAATTGTTTATGTGACTATCAAGAGACACCTTATGGCTCATAAAGCGGAGGGATGGGTTTGGATTGGATTGGATTGGCTAGGAGTGTTTAAAATGCAGACGGCGTTGTCTAATTATTAATAGATTTGCGGCTGCGAGTGTGTTTGAAATGGAAAGTAGGCAGGAAAGTAGCAGGAACCAGCCGTCCCCTGCAACTTGGCCAAGTCGCCCAATCTAACCTAAGCTATATGCTATTTTCGCCATGCCTGCGGTTCAGCTAATCCCCCAAAAGTTCATTGCTCTGCGAGCAGCTATTAAATCAAATATTCGGCCATAACAATTATACAAAGCAAACAAGCCACAAATTGTCTATAGCAGGGCGCTATTAATATGCGATTTAACAAATATTTAGCGAAAACACAAGCAATATGTGCCCCGAATTCGAAATGAATCGCAAATGCGACGAAAAACACATACTCGTATGTTTCATTGTATTCGAAAGTCAAGAATTTTTACGAGCTTGGGAAAATAATAATTTTATGGCTAAAAATTGTAGCTTGCACGTGCACGAAATTAATGCGAGCCGCTTTGTGTATTTTCGTTATTAGCAGAATTTAAATTGCTCTTCGATCGATTTCGATCGCTGAATGCGCTGAATACGCTGAATACGCTGAATACCTGGTACGTTGACATTTTTGGTTTCTGCATAAGTTTTTCTCCTCCCAGTTTAATATGCCATCCTTGTCGCTGGCCTGTTGTCCATTGCCGATGACGATGACGATGACGATGATGATGGAGCTGGAGATGGAGACGAGTTGACTCTACTCCTAGTTAGAAGACGGTCAGATCGCCAGGGCCAGTCGCTGCATATTAATTTGATAACTTATATATACAATATACATGTATATCTGCTATATTTATTTCTGCACACGAAGTTGTCTGCTCGCTTGTCGCTTCGTTTCGCCTCAGTTTGGTTTTGTATTTTGCTCTAGGCCTAGGCCACGACAATCTTGAACATTTGTTTGTCCACAATATGGCCAGGCCAAGGCACTTTTGACAACTTGACAGTCGTGCAGACAGGCCGGGGGAGGCAGGGGCACTTATAGCCGGGCCAGGAGGCGGAAGAATCCGGACAAGACGGGCTGACAATGTCTGCCTTTGGCATTGGCCATGGCTGTATCGTCTGGCGCATTTAATGGCCAGGCGTGTCACTTTAAAGCGACATTTATAACCAATTTGTAATCAATTCTAACAATCGCTAACACACGCCCCACACTCCCTCTTCCCTTCTCTTTCGAACTGCGCTTACTTATTCATGTTGTTTCATTTACTCTTCACTTGCAGCGGCCGCCGAGCTCATCGCTGTCCTACGGCGGCGCAATGAACGATGACGCCCGATCGCCGGGCGCTGGTAGTACTCCCGGTCCACTTTCACAGCAGCCACCTGCCCTAGATACATCAGACCCTGGTAAGTGCCGCCCTAGTCTAAGCCAAATCAGTTGCCTTTAAGCCTCCAGCTACGCCACTTCTAAAGCAGGCTCATGTCACGAAAACTCGCCTGATTGATAGGAAACTTGGGATGAAACTTGACGAAATGATGTGTACTTTGATTTAAATGTGTTGAGAATCTATTGTAACAGAAATTACTCGTAATTATGCCACGCCAGACTTCTGGCCAGTTCCGATCTGCTTAATCCCTATTGAATGTGTTACACACTTCACGCCTCTCGAGGCGGCCGTCTCCCACTTTTGATTATGTTGTTTGCCTCTGTTTCAAGTGCCGCCAGAGCTTTCGAGCCAGCTCGCCGCGTAAGCGTACAACAACTTGACAAAAGAGTAACAACAGCCAACAACCTGGCTAAGAAACAACAACTTTCCTAGGGACAGCCCTCGGAACCGCGGCCTTTGAGGCCCTAGACTGCCTGTCTTGGAGATCCGCGCCTGGAGCCCGGTGGACCCACCACTCCAAGCTCCACTCCACTTCAGCCTGCAGAGAGTTTTATGTGTGTTTTTTAGTATTTTCCCCACACCCCTGCCTCTCCACGTTGCTGCTGCTTTTTCAATATTTTTCGAGTGCGACTGACTTTGCACTTGGCGCTTCTTTTTGAAGATCTCGTGCGCCGGCGAGGGGCATCGGGGGGCTGGAAAGTCAGGTGAATTATTTATGGTGATAGGCAAAAATAATATTTTGTTTCTGTATTTTTATTTCCTCGGAGAGCGCAAGTGCGTTGTTTTCCCCTTTGTTTGCATGGCGGCAGCGAAAAAACAAAAGCCCTGGCCAAAACAGCTCTCGAAAAAGACACTCTAGGCCACTCGTCGTTTGCTCTCAAGAAAATGAAAAAAAAATGTGGAAAAGACGAATATTGAGTGAGGGACCCAAGGTGATAATGCAGTTTCACTGCTTAAAGAATTGGAACACTGAAAACAAAACCTGGAGCCCAAATTACCACATAGAAGCAAGACGGCTGTTCAAAATATAGCATTTTGAGCTATACAGTGCAGGCGGCTGGCCAGAATTAGCTGGAGCTACAACTATTTCTTCGAGTGTACTCGAGGGAGGGGTTTGAAGAGTGCTCCACCGAGTTGGAGGCGTTCCGCAGCCAATCCATTGACGTTGACGTCGAATTCGAAAAAACTTTAAAGCGCGCCGAACAGCAACTTTAACGATTGTGTGTGAGTTGCACCGATATGTGAGCATATGCGTACATACTCGCACATCGAAAGTATCTGTATCTTTTTGTACGGCCGTGTGTGCGCGCCATTTTGATTGATTTATCTACACGTCGCTTGACTTTGTAGACAAATTAAATTTCGGCATAGTTCGAGTTGTGCACTCCCGAGCACTCAATGGAAATTATCTACAGTTGAATAATTTCTAGCAGCGCGCGAAATTTCCATGTTAATTTTGGGACCGCAGCTTCCTCGCCCCTCCCTGTTGCCGCTCCCCGTTTGCCGAGCGATAAGAAAATGGCCAGCCCCGCCCCGCCCCGCCCCGCTCTTCCACTTCCCTACTGCCATTCGGCGTCTGTGGGAAATTTGCGTCGCGTTTTCCGGGCGTAGCAAATAGATATTTTCCACATTTTAAGTAGACAAGGCAACCGAGGGCGGTGGAATGCGGTTGCCAAGTACAAGTATATATTCTCCGAGCTGCAGACATTCCGCTGCAGAGGAAAGGGAATATTTTTCTGTCGTAATTTTATGCACGAATTCGTAAAATGTTATTCAAATGGAAAATGTGATTTTTATCAATTTTGACAGGAATTTCATGCCCCAGCCGAGCGCACAAAGAAAAGCGAGGAAGGGCAAAAAGAACCAGCACAAGGATGCGGCGCATCCTGGAAATTTCCATGAATTGTGCGGCGCAAGGCCCCGAAAAAGTTAAAGATACTTTTCGAATTTAATTATAGCTGCACATACACCTATGCTGGCAGATAGGTTTCCCTGTAAATCCCAACATGCTTTAACTGACAGCCGCAGACCCTGTAATTACACACACAGCACCCTCGTCAATTCGGTCCGAGTTCGATTAAAAAATATTTTCAAAGTGACGAGCTAATGCGGCGCTAAAGAGCCAAGCGATACTCACATTTAAAGCCCAATCTGTTTATTTACACGGGCGAAATTGACGAGTCGTCAAGTGTCGTGCTTAGATGCAAATCAAAACGAGATCAGCCGTGGGGTCAGGCAATGAAATTGGAAATGAAAATAAACACAGCCAACGGGTGGTCCTTCAGCAACCCCTTGGTTTTCGCCGAAAAAGGACCCCTCTCACCGCCGCGCCACTGACATTGATTGAAAATGCTGCGTGACGTAAATTAACTTTCATGGGGTTGGGTCGAAAAGTGCGTGTTATCCTTTCCGCTCGGGAAGTTTCGTCAAGCCGCAAGACCCACACAATTGCCAATTGTTACAATTTTAAAACATATCCTTCTCGCAAATCGGAAGGGGAGGGATGGGATGGCAGCTTGTTTTTGGTTTTTGTCACTGCGGCATTTAAATCCTACCCGACCTTGTGTGAAGTGCACTTATTTGCTTTTCCTCATTTTTTGTTTTGTTCTATTTGTATCCCCAGTAAGGCGATTATCTTTGGCCGATGCCCTGTTGTTCTAGCTTATTTACGTTGATGGAATGAGTTTTGCAAGAGCAACAAGAGGCATAACAATAACAGGAAGCTCTAACTCTGCTTTGTTATCTTACCACGCACAATTAGACAATTTCCATTTCCATTTCCATTTGGGCCTTTCCCTCAGCGTTGACAGTTTTTCTCAGGCATTTCGCCCTGGGAGTTTTCCCCGTCTTTTGTGATGTGAAAGAATTTTCCTCACTCCACCCACTTTTAATTGTACTGTCTGTTTTATTTTGGGAAAGCAAGTAAGCGCGCTTGAGGCTCTCTTAGTTATTTTAGATCATTTTATGTCTTGTTAGGTTGTAAAATCCCTATTTAATAATTTGAATCAAATGCCCCTAGATTACGCCGCACTTATGCATATGACATCCAATCATAATTCACACCCCATATTATCTGCAGATCCGTCTTTCATTGTTCCCACAACTTTTTAACTCTTTTGTCAAAATGCTGACACGAATTTCCCAACCCAGAACCCAGCCAGCGATCGGCAAAAAATGAAATTAAAATTTTACGCATTAACGAGAACGAAGAAAAAACCTTTTGTGCAGTGCTGGCAGAAATTGCCCATATCTGTGCGGGGTTATCTTGCTGGCATAGGACTAGGCATATTCATATTCCTGAATTCCTGAATTCCTGATTCGGAATAGGAATCCCTAACCCCTAGAATCCGGCAAAACGTGCCACACCAGCTGCTGCACGTTTGGGATTCCGCTCGGGTTGATTCGCATTCGCGCACTCGTAAAAATTGAAACAGAAATGCGATGTTTCATAATGAGGAGTTGGGTGAGGGGAAAAATGGGAAATGTGGCAATAGTCGGGGGACCAGGACCAACGAGAGCTTATGTAACATTACGTCAAACGGCACAAAGGGCAATACATCTTCATCCCCTAAAAAAATACCTAAAAAGCAACTCAACGAGTGACGGGACTTGTTCTTATTCTACAATGAAAATTTACGAACTGACTGTTGCTTTTTTCCACCGATGCGGTGCTGTGTGGTGCGGCGCATTATCATATTTCTGGGCCGACACGCCAATGAATAGAATGCGCATCGAATTTCCCGGCAGCCAGGCCGGAATCTTCCCGGGGCAACCCTCACATCAACGGAATCATCAACACCAGCACTGGGAGTTCCTCAAATTTTCGGTGGGATGAGGCGGAAGGTCGCCGGCAGTTGACAAACAAGCAACACCAAAAAAGCAAAAGGACTTTGAGGGTTGCTCAGACTGCTGACTGCTGAATTTCCCGATTCCCAATTCCCGAACAAAATGCAAACTTCCGCGCCGTCTCTGTCGCACGCAGCGCTCGTATACCCATCCCTTTCGCTGGGAATCGCGTTTCATGGGTGGTCGCTTTTGACTTGAAATTTGTCTAGCTTTACACTTATCGTCGTAATATAGTTATGGATCTGCCACACTGGCGGTTGCATAAATTAGTAACAGCCGGACGAACACTCAAGCCATCAAGTGATAAGTCGGCGAGAGAGATGGCCAGACCGCTTGAGAAAGAGACAGAGACAGAGACAGACAGACAGACGGAGATAAGTATTTTTTTAATTTCTGTCCCCCCGCATTAACCTCAGTGCTATTCATTCCCAAGGAAACATTAAAAACCATGTACTCCCGACTTTTATTATTCATTATTTTCGCATTCATTTCGGCGTCTCGCTGTCGCTTTGAACTGCATCCGCGAAAGAGAGGGCCATACGGTGCGCGAAAGAGATGGCACGATGGTGGCGTGCCATTAATAGAGCTATCAAGTGCCGTACGCTGCTGATGACAGTGGCGGAGCTTATCAAGCTGCCAGTTTTGCAGTTTTGCAGTTTTGCAGTTTAAAACTGCATTTCTCAACACACAAATCACAAATCACTGCGCGGCATGCAATCTCTCACACAAATCATTTCATTTCTGCCCGACGAAGCCAAGTGTCATTAGCGTCACACGTCCCGATCCCGATGCCAATCCCGATCTGCCGCATGCCCCTCGCCCCATCCTCTTGATGCCCCATCGTGCTGCCAAGTGTTTATTAGTACGAGGCATTTATCAGCAATTATAATTATACGGCTCTCTCTCCTCGAGCTCAAGTGTGTGTACGAGTGTGCTCTGAGCCCTGACGACCTCTCGTTTTCGCTGAGGCCAGAATCAATGAGATACGCCGGAGATGGCAACGAAATCCGGGGAAATCAGAGCATGTATTCCGAAAACAATGTGATATGAAATGGTTGATATACACTTTAAGTGCTCCTTAAACTTCAAAAGTAGCCCCAAAGTGAGTGTACCTATTCGCAGCGACTGCACTGTATGCTAAATGCTTTTTAAATGCCCAGCCAGGCAAATTAA